GAATGCGCCCCGCGGTGTCGATCCCCGAAGGGAGAGGACTTGGCTGCGCCCGCCCGCCTTGTCCCAGAGAAAAGGTCACTCCTTGAGAGCTTTTGCGTGTCATTTCTCTCCTTTCAAGCCCGGCGTGCCCCCTGGGTGTTGCACTCCTCCCAGGCCAGAGAACCGACAACCTCCGGGAAGGGAGGTTGGACAGAAACAAGAGCGTGGGCAGGTAACTCTAGCAGCACTGGGATTGTTGAGGCCATTTTTAAATTCCCTTTGGACGTCAGGATTTTTGTTTGTTTTAATAAAAAGGGGGGAAAAAATGAGGTCTATTGTCAGCTCAGAGAGAGCCTGGGATTTGAGGGGCCTGAGTCCCCCCGACGGTTTCCGGTGATGTGAGTTTACTTTGAATTCACTTGTTGACCTTACTGAGCCTGGTTCTCTTTGTGCCTAAGGGCTTCGTGGTCACATCTCATTCATGAAGGTGCCATTTTGCAGATAAGAAAAGTGAGGCTCCTAAACATGAAATAACTTGCCCAAGGCCACAGAAAATTACGTATACATTTCTCAGTCCTTAAAACTTATAACCGTTCACGGAAGCCGCTTTTGTCCTGGTACCGCTCTTGGCCTGAGTTCAAAACCTGATTCCACCACTTTCCAGCGGGGTGACTGACCTTGGGGGAGTCAATTTCTCTAAGCCTCGGTTTTCTCTAGCTATTTATTTGTAGTCATATGTTACATTATGTGTATTATGTTTTATCTTCTCAATCTAGATTGCTAAGTGCACAAAGGCAAGGATTGTCTTTCATTTTCTTTCAGTTCTCTGCAGGCTCCAACTGTTGCCATGAACCCAGTAGTATATGCCAAGGCTGACTATAAAAAGACATCACAATATTCATTTTAACAAAAATGTCTGCAAATGACAAAGTCTTAGCCCATCCCACTTGCTGTCATGATCCATACCCTACAGGAAGTTCGTGAAGTTTCAGGAAAGGAAATGAAACTTATCAAAGAGGCAGTGAAAGTAACCACAATTAGCCCAGCCAACGAAATATTTATGACCCTTATCAAATTCTGGGGAGTTGGCCAGAGGTGCCGCTTGCTTGCAAAGTAGTGAAAGGTAACTTAATTCTGATCTTGAGTTCCTAACTAAAACAAAATAAAAGTAAAATATAATTACTATATGGTGTGAATATTTTAAAATTATTCTCACAAAAGGGAAGAGAAACAGACCTGGTTAAGCGTCTGCCCAGAGTGGAGCCCAGAGGTGAGTGAGGGCTTTATTCCTTGTTGGTTCATTGTCTTAAAGGGAAAACCTCCTTTGGTGTCGTCGCTTTTTTACCCTGGGATTGTTCTCTCTTCTTCTTGTTTCTTGCCCACCCCCTTTCTATTAAAATAGACACAGATGTTCAGTGCACACATTCCATTCCCTCTCCCTCTGGAATGTTCTATCATGATTGCTCTCTTCTCGGACACAAAATCATACTCCTTTTAGAATCATACTCCTTTTAGAGTTAGCAAGAGTTCCCAATTCTCCCACACCAACACAGACTCCTTTAAACATTCTCTGTATCTTATACGTATTTCTGCTTCTCATTGCACAAATACTGACAGTAATAGTTTCCTGTGAGTACAATGACTTTACATTAAAGTTTTTACTATCTAGTCAAAGCCATAAGGGATATCCAGAATTCCATTTGTTAACATTATATTATAGAAGGGTAGCATGATCCCAAAAATTACATGGGAAGATGACTTCCAAAATTATGTGGGATAAATCTCATCTGGTCACAGTACATAATCGTTTTATATATTGATGGATCCGTCTTGTTAATATTTTGTTAAGGATTTGTGCATCTAAGCTCATAAGGGACATTAGTTTGAAGTTTTCTCTTTTGATGTCTTTAAGAAAGTAATAGTGGCCTCATAGAGTGAGTTGGGAAATACTCCCTGCTCTACTTTTTGAAAAAGCTTGTATGAGATTGGGACTAATTCTTTAAATACTTGATAGAATTAACCAGTGAACTAAAATTATGTGGGATAATAAAATAGCTTATTCTTTAAATACTTGATAGAATTAACCAGTGAACTAAAATTATGTGGGATAATAAAATAGTTTATTTTTAGGAAATAAATATCTCTCAGCCGGGCTCGGTGGCTCAGCCTGTAATCCCGTGCCTTTGGGAGGCTGAGGTAAGTGGATTGCCTGAGCCCATGGGTTCGAGACCCACCTGGGCAACTTGCTGAGACCTCATCTCTACAATAAATCAAAATGAGCCGGGCGTGGTAGTGCACGCCTGTAGTTCCAGCTACTCAGAAGGCTGAAGCAGAAGGATCGCCGGAGCCCAGCAGGTCAAGGCTGCGGTGGCTGGAAGCAGCCACTGCACTCCAGTCTGGGTGACAAGAATGAGACTCCGACTCAAATAAATAAATAAATAAATAAATAAATATCTCTCAATACCCAGAAATAATTAAAGCTATGAAAAACTTTGAGATAATTCCAATTTATAGTATTTAATATCATGGGGATAAGAAAGAATATATGCATGTGTGTAAAGTTCTGCTCGTTGGCTAGTTGACTGCTTTATCAGTCATAATAATCTCTGAGAATTTTGTGAAAATGCATATTCTGCTTCAATACATCTGGGATGGGGCTCAAGGTTTTGCGTTTCTGAAAAGTGAAAAGTGCCTAGATGAAGCAAACGTTCTGAAGTTATGAAGAGCACACACTGAGTAGCAAGAAGTTAGACAATTAGAATTTTTTTGTGTGTGTTGGAGTCTCACTCTGTCACCCAGACTGGAGTGCAATGGCCGCTCCCGGCCACCGCAGCCTCGACCTGCTGGGCTCCAGCGATCCTTCCGCCTCAGCCTTCCGAGTAGCTGGAACAGGTGCACGTTGCCATGCCCGGCTGATTTTTTGATTTATTGTAGAGATGAGGTCTCGCCAAGTTGCCCAGGCAGTTCTCGAACCCGCGGGCTCAGGCAATCCACTCCCTTTGGCCTCCCATAATGCTGGGATTACAGGCTGGCCACTGAGCCTGGTCGACAATTAGAATATTTTAAAAAGAATCTTCTTAAGCCGGGTTGGTGGCTCAGCCTTGGGCTTGGTGGCTGAAGTGAGTGAATTCCCTGAGGCCACAGGTTCGACACCCACCTGGGCAACTTGGCAAGACCTCATCTCTACAATAAATCAAAAAATTAGCTGGGCGTGGTAGTGCGTGCCTGTAGTTCCAGCTACTTGGAAGGCTGAGGTGGAAGGATCGCCGGAGCTCAGCAGGTCGAGGCTGCGGTGACCGGGAGCAGCCACTGCACTCCAGTCTGGGTGACAGAGTGAGACTCCAACTCAAAAAAAAAAAAAAAAAGAATCTTCTTGATTGTATTTTAAAATATGTGGAAGCATTTAAATTTGTAAATGGGACCAAGTGTTATTCAAAGGTCTTTAAAGATGATCATTATAATTTGCTACACTTAGAATAAGATTAAGTAGACTATATCACTTAGCTGTATAAAACAAATTTTTTCAATGTGTACTTTTGCTGAAATTAAATCATAATTTTTTAAAAAACTCATAATGCTTGAATCAGTATTTCTGTGAATCAAAACTGTGTCCCCAGGAACACCACAAGCTCCTATTTAACATCAATTTGTCTGTGTGCCAGGCACTGTGCTAAGTGTTTCATCTATGTTTTCTTAGCTCATCCTCACAACAACCCTATGAAATGGTCACTGTCACCATCACTTCTTTACAGTTGAGAGGACTGAGGCTCAGAAAACTTGTGCAGGTCATTCCAGTAACCAGGGTTGATGAGCCCTGTACCCAGGGGCAGCCATACTGCTCCCACATTATATTGTCAGGCATGCAAGGAGATAGGAGTCTGGCTGGAATCTGTCTCCCTAAGGGAGAGATTTTGAGGATAAGGTTTTGGGACTGGACGTGATTGGCCAGAAAGAAAGGAGGTTTTTGGCAAGTCCCTTGGGCATGCAGTGTTGCCCCATATGCTTCATGGGTCACATACTCAGAAAGTAGCAGTGTTAGTGTGATCTGGAGTTGGAGTTTTGGGCCCTTTGATGTCAAAAGGTCATGGGGGAGTAAATCTATCTGTGTGCAAGCTCCAGTCAGCCATGTTGATTCCATCTGATCTCAGCCAACTTTGTTGCAAATGAAGGAGATTGTAACAAATCGTCTCCAGTGTCTATTTTCGTCTCCACTGTCCTGCAAAACAAGCTTAAGAAATTTTGCTTGTTAACAAATTCTCTAACCATGGGGCATGGTTTCAGTCTCTCCCCACTACCAGAAGTTTCTTAACCTTGGGTCCACAGACCCCAGGAGTCCCTAGATTCTTGAAAAGGAAGTTTTCACTAACTTCTCCTAAAATTTAATGCTGAATGAGGGCAACAGACCGTGGTTGTATTAGCTCTACCTATGTCTTTGTCATCATGGAAACCACAGACAGTTTCATACCTCATTACAAGTGTTGAGATCCCTCAAATCAAATTCTGAAGTATGGTAGACGTTAACACACCGTTAGATCTTATTTAATACATTAAATAAGCAGGCACATGAATTATTGCATCACAGTTTGTTCATATTCTAATACCTGCATTTCAGTATAATTAGTTTTCTTTACAGTCTTCTTTGTTTTATTTTATGTATTTAGAAACATTCTTGGGTTTGCAGTTTTAGTCGGATGTTTAGGAAACTTTCTGACTGTTTTTCAAAATTCTGTACTAA